TTTAGGGTTCTGTAGTTTTCATTGTATAAGTCTTTCACCTCTTTTGTTAGGTTGATTCCCAAGTTAATATGAGAAAAAAATCTGAGTTTATCATAATGGTAGCCAGATTTAATATTTTTTTATATAGCAACAAAACATAAATGCTAGTCTTAGAATTGGGTATTTAGATTTTAAATGTTCTGCCACTTGTCACCAGGAAATCAGATTGACTGGTTGAAAATATTAAATATTTTTGGAAACAAAACCATAACTCTTTAAAAAAAACATAACTCTTGTAAGGATTTAGTTTTTGGGACTCTAACATTCCCTGCTACATAACATAATATACTACATAAACATTATATAATTAAGGCAAGAAGTAATGACAGGACAGTGTATAAGTGGCAGAAGGTACAAAAATAAAGTCTTGATGCCAACTATCTCTTAATCTTCCTTTCCAGAGGCAACCAGTTTCTTCCAAGACCTTCCAAAGAATTTTTTTTTAATGGTACCAGGGATTGAAACTAGAGGCAATCACTTGAGCCACATCCCTAGCCTACTTATTTATTAATTTAATTTATTTATTATCTTTCTAAGTTGCTGAGCCTGGCTTTGAACTTGGAATCCTTCTGCCTTAGCTTCCCCAGCTGGGATTACAGGCATGTGCCCCTGTGCCCAGTGAGATTCTGTTCATTCTTACCCTCTTATCTGTTTTCTCATTGTATTTGCCATGCAGTAATCATCCTGAGACTTCAGTACTATTATAGAAATCCCCTTTGCCCCAGTCCTATGTAGTATATATGCTTTCTATATCCCATGCCTTTTCTTTTCTCATCTTTCTCTCCTAGCTTTGTTGACTACCATTTTACGTAGTCTCCTGAGAAGAGAGCACATGTAGACTTCTAGTTTCCCTTCTGGCATGAAAGGAGTTTAGAAGTTATTACTCCATCCTCAAAGCATGTAAACATGTGGAAGAAACTCAAAAGAAGACTCTTATCTTCAGGGACAAGTTTGCCCTGTGACACAAGTTAGGGAGATAGGTGAATGAAGTGAATCAGAATTTGCCGGAGTATGAAATTTAGCTGAGAACAAGTGTCGGGGTAGGAAAAACTAAACTGTAGTTGAAGCGTTGCTGGAGATGTGTCTGATAGTTAACATTGCGAGGACCTAGTCATAGGTATACTTGATGAAGTTTTCAAACTAAATACTGGAGAAAAATCCTTTTGTGTGTCCTACAGGGAAAGGGAAAAATAATTATTTTGACATATGCTAGAATATTTTATTCTTCTCAAAAAGGCTGATCTCTCAAGAGAAACCAACATGGAGAAGGGAAATACCCAACTCCAGCCCACTGTAGTCATGCTATGGGGGCTAGAGCAGGAACTGAGCACTACTTGTGAAGTTCACAGTCCAGAAAGACAGGCTTTCTAAAAGACTGAGACCTAAACATACAACTGTCTAATGCTCTCCCTTTCCCCATATGATTACCACATGACAAGAGTCCTAGTTACCTTAGTTGCTTTATCCAGTGACCAAATCCAGTTATCAAGAAAACATTTTGAGCATATTGAGAAGCAGAAAACAGTTTCAAGAGACAGAGAAAGTACAAGAACCTGACTGAATATTGACAACAATGTTGGAATCATTAAACCAGGATTTTAAAACTACGATTAATATGCTAAGGGCAAACTCTTATGGTTAACAGCAACAGGAACAGATGAGCAAGGTAAGTAGAGCATTACACATGTATTTGAGTGATCTCTGCTTACAGTGTCCTTATGCCTGAGGAGAAAACTGTTTTAACAGTTTTAGGGGGCCAACTTTGAGGGGTGTGTTAGTTTTCCCTTGCTGTGACAAAATACCTGATATAAACAACTTGTAAGTAGGGAATGTTTAAATTAGCTCATGGTTTTGATCTATGCCTGGTCCAGGTGCTTTGGGTTTGTAGTGAGACATTATATCATTGTGGGAGGGCATGGCAGAAGATGCTGCTCATTTCATGATAGCTGAGAAGAAAAACAGGAAGAAACTGGGGTCCCAACATACCCTTCAAGGGCACACCCCAATGACCTAAGTTCCTTCTAGGCTCCACGTCCTAAATTTTGGTTCCAACACTTCTCAATAGGGCCACTCTATGGTCTGGGGACCGACACATGGGTCTCAGTGGGATACTTCAGATTCAAACTGTAGTAGGGAGGCAGGTGGTTTGCAGTGTCTGTGTTTCTCATGAGGGCTATCACTTAACCCCATGTTGGATAATGTCAGAAATTTCAACAAACACTCCAACCACTCATTCATTGTAAATTTTCTTGACTAAAATTACCATCTTGCTGGTTTCTTCCCATTTGTTCTTTGTTCTTATTCTTTTCCCCTTTTTCTGCCTGATTGCCTTTGGGTTAATTTTACATTTTGAATGACTGTGCTTCATCACTATTGACTAATTTTTAATTTTTTTTAAGTAATTGCTTCAGTGTACAGTGTATACCTAACCACCTTCTTTAAATAACATGATACTACTTCATGAAAGCCCAGTAAGAGAGCTCTAGAGAAGAGTTTACAAGTGCATATGAACTCCTTTTGTTGATCCCAGAGTTCTGTGTTGTCTCAGTAGCCTCCACCCAGTCTTGAGCAAATTCACTCAAATTTTTACCTTATTTCTTCTTACCTAACCATATGGCACCCAGGTTTGCTTGATTTTGTGTTTTGAAGTGGGTGAGCTGGTGTTTGCATCCCTTCTCCTTGAGAGAGGCTTCTCTTTACTAAGGTTTTAAGGCTTTTTGGTCATTCTGTGGCCACAGCTTTGTTGGACTGAAGAAAAAGTTGTATTTTTTTAGGTCATTTGCTTTTCTTATTGTTTAGATGTGGACATTACTTTTTTGTATATCCTAGAAAAGAGCAGAAATTCATAATCAATGTTCTTTAGAAATAGGAATTCAGACTTTCCTAAGTGTACACTTTTTGAATTTACCTTTAAAGAAAGGTTTTATTTCAAAAATGACTCTAAACCCCCTAAATAATCTATGTAATAAATCCAACCTAATCTCTGAGAATGACTAGCTTCCATTTCCTATATATTTCATATATTCTTGAACTATATTTGTTTTCCATTGACTTGACTAGCACAATGCATAGCTGGCAGGGGCACAGCATCCAGGATGTTTCCCACCTGAGACAGGAAGGGAGTACCTGTTAAAATGGGATTCTCTCAATATGCATTTCATGAGCACTAGTAAGGCTTTCTGCAGATGTGTTCATTATCTTGGTAATGCAGTGAGTGAGGGGAAAAGTGAAGATCTTTGCTAATTATCTTTGGGATTTAATCATGTGGTGAGGACAGAACTGTGTTTACTAGATAAACATCTCTTTCACTCACATACTACCAGATAATATGAGGATGCTGAAAGTACAAAGCAGAGTTATACCAAGATTAATTTCAACTTATTGAATGCAACTACTGTTAATACTATTGTATTAAAAATACCTAGGAAAAATATCATACAGTATATACCAAAAGAAGATGTAAGTTGTGATTCTTCTGGTGAAATAGGGACTGTATATATTTGGTTTCATTTTCTTGTTCATTAGTTTTGCAACCCACTACATTCAGGATATAAACTCCAGGACAATAAGACACATTTCACCAAGGGTGCTAAATACCATATTCATACTTGTTGCTTTCCTGCAGTCCTCTTAAAATGGTAACACTCTTTCTAAATATGTAAACTACTAACTATCTCAAACCTCTGTATTTTTGCCTGGCACCTTTTGCTTGCACAGTATTCCCTCTCCTACTGTCTTTGTGATGGAGATCAGAGACAATTGCCTCTGATAGGCCTGCCTTGGTGCCCTCATGCAAAATTATTTTTTCCATTGATTGCTCTGTAGATACTTATCTTGTGCTGTGAATTACATTCTCTAGCAAATTACTGCTTGCTTCCAATTCTAGACTTGAATTTCTTGAGTACACAAACATATGACATTAACCATTGTATAGCTGGTACTTAGTACAGAGCTTGGAGACATGAGAGTCAGTTGAGTATTCAGCTGAGTTATAATATTGCATAGTTATTTTTCTTTATTTAAATTTTTTTTGGCAATACTTGCAATTGAACCAAGGGCCTTGCACATGCTAGGCAAGCACTATACTGCTGCACTACCTCTCCAGTCCCTATTACTTAGTTGTTTTGATGGTTATGCTTAAAATGCTTAAATATGTTATTTGTATTTTACTGAATCTGGGAAAAATTACATTTTTTAATACCATGAAAGACTGAATTGTTTCTGTGTTTAGAAACAAAATTTAAATATTTTAAGCAGCATATGTTAATGTTTTAAATATTAAGCTGGTAAGTCCCACCATCTCTTATGGAATATCTAAATATCTCAAATATAGGAACAAATATTCCATTTATGGTCTAATTCATCTAATTTTTAGTCTTTTGAGAAAAGTAATAGGTGAATGATTAGTGTTAATATTCATTAATATTGATAGGAAATTATAAGTGCTTGATTATGACTTCCAGCCTATTTTAATGCATCTGTTTCAATTTCATTCAAACACCATTAAAACCTTGGGACTTAAGAGGGTTAAAATTAGAGAACTATGACCTATAAATGTCTTGATATAAATATAAGATAGGAGATTTAGATAAAGGTTTGCTAAATTAAGATTTCTGATGTACTAATTCCTGAGTCATATCTTCAGGCATTTTTTAAGTGGGTTTGGAAAGGTACTTTATTTCATTTGTTTATAAGTTATTTATCCAACACCAGAGACCACTGAGGGAGCTCAAAACCATTAAGAATGATTGTAACATTTCTATTAACTTTGCTTTTGCTTGTTAGGGGATAGAGAGGACAATTCTATAATACAGTCAGTAGCTAATTAAATGGTTTGTGAATTCGCTAGGCTTTTCTTTTTGTTTCACATTTTACCAAATAAAAGACTCATTTTATTTAAAATTATATTGCAGTTGGTTAACTTTGAGTTTTTTTCTCCCTCCCACTCCGTTACACACCAGTGTAGTGACTATGACTTGGAATTCGGAACCGAATGTTTACAGTTGGCTCTAAAATATTGCCACATTAAAGCCAAACTTGTAGAAGGATCACCTGACCTCTGGAAGGTAAGAGATGTTTTTTTTGGTTCTGAATCTTCTCTGCTTGTGTGTGCACATATGTGTTTACTTAGATTTTAAAATGAGAACCTTGAAAAGGATTCAGTCTCACTGGGTTTCCCGAGCCATCAAAGTGTGAGATATATATATATATTCAATTTTTGAATATATATATTCAATTTTTTTTGGCTTGACCTAAAGAAAATTTACTCTTTTAATTCAGACAAGTTCCATTTTAGTTCATAAGTTTTGTTTTCTCCATTTTTTGTTGTTTTTGTTCTGTATATATAGCCTCTTATTCTGATCACCCAATTGAATTAAAACTGCAATTCTGCTGCCATAATAGCAAAGTTTCCTCCCAAGCCTGGGTGGTGGCTCCAAGTAGGTTGAAAGTACACCTGCCACAGTTTGGACCATTGGGGCAGTGGCCAGACCCTCTCTTGGCCCTGCATGAAGAATTGGACTCCTTTCCCTGGTGAGGCCCAACTCTTCTAACACCAAGTTTTGTTCCTTTGTAGGGGATGAAATGATTGCTGGAAACAAGTTAGTAGCACTGTTTACCCTACTCCTTCCTTTTGAAACAGGCACATTTTGCAGGGTGGCTTGCCCTTGTTTAATAGGTCCATAGTATGTTTCCTCATTGAGGCTATATGGGTCCATAGTATATTTTCTCATTGAAATTTAGAACAGAAAGTTGTATTGGGTGTTTTCCGAGTAACAAGATGGCCCTGCTGCATGCTGAGGTTGTCTCAGACAGCCTCACCAAAAATATTGGTGGGTTTGGATTGGTTGCCTTACAGAAAAAATGTGTACAGTATTGTTTCCTCATTTAAGGACATCTAAATGTTATCAGCCCAGCAGCTGAGCACTTTTCATTTTATATTTTGTATAGATGGCTCTTGTGGGCTTCTCTCGGTATGATTTTTGAGCACTTCTCTTGGTATGGCTATTTAGGGATGATTGCTAGTCATCTCTGTGATTTAACCAGAAGTTGAAGAGAAAACTCTGTTCAGCATTGTGCATCTTACTTACATATTATTTGCTTACTATTAATAGAGAACTAGCATAGTTAGTATGCTTCTAAAATTTTTGGTGACATAAATAGTAATTATGTGGATTTTTGGCAGTTACCTATTAGGTGTTTTGTTAAAGATCTAGATTCACATTAGCACTACTCTCTTGGACTATCTTGCTAGACCTAGTTCAAAGGCCCTGGAGAAAAGATGAAAAGTAGCAACTCTGAGGCACTGCATTGTTACTAATATGTTAAATATCTCTGGCCTCAATTTTGTTTTCTGGAGGTGTGATTATTTACCTCTTGTGGGTACTCTGACCACAAAACACTCAAGTTTGTGGATAAAAGGGAAGCTTCACATTGCTCTTTGAATTTTCCACTCCATCTTCACAAATTTGTTTTTATTTATTTATTTTTGTGAAGTGCTTATACTTCATCACTGTCTCCAGCAAGAGAATTAGTCCTCAGACAGCTTGACTGTCATGTCAATGCACTGCAACATGTGGCGGGTCTTTCCACAGTGCCTCTGTTGGCACCATTGATGAGTCATTTAGCATGTCCTGTTTTGTGGGTTAAATGATCTCTCTCTCAAAAAAAAGTGTTAAAGACCTAAGTCCTACCACCTATGAATGTGATCTTACTTGAAAAGAAGCTCTTTGCAGACATAATCAAGTTAAGTAAGATCATACTGAAGTAGGGTAGGCCCTAAATCCAACATGACTGGTCCTTATAAAAATAGCAGAAGAGACACATGCAAGGAGGATGTCATGTGATGATGTGAAGCATCTGCAAGCAAAAGAATGCTAAGGATTGTCAACAGTCACCAGAACCTGGAAAGAGGCCAGGAAGGGAGCTTCCCAAAAGCCTTCAGAGGGAATTTGGATTTATCTACACCTTAGTTTCCAACTTGCTGCCTATAGAACTGAGAGAGAATGAATTTCTGTTATTGTAAGCCATTAAGTTTGTTACAGTGCCCTCTGACATACATGCCCAGGGGTTGACATACTCTTTTAGGCCTCAAGTGAATCAGGATCATAGTATTACTTCCTGAACCAGGACAAAGACAGAGAGCCTGACTCCCAAGTATGAGATTTGAGTAATGATGTGCATCAAAGGGATGTTGGATTTGAAAAGGCCTGAAATGTGGTAGCCTGGGCAAAATGTCCTACTAATCACTGTGTCAACTTTTAGATGCCACATTTCTTCTGAGTGAGATGAAATTATTGTGAGTACAAATATTCCAGGTATTTAAATTTTATTGTTTCCTTTTTCTGCCTCCTGTCTTCTATCTATGGAGGTTTTTTTTTTTTTTTTTTTTAAATAAGCGGTTTAGCCCTTATTTAATTCCTCTTGGTGGCATTGTATGATTTTCCTTTAAAAACTTAAATTCCTTTTGTGGTATGATTTTTTTTTTTGTAAATGTAGAGTATTTGTTTAAATAATAGCAATGGATACATATATTTTGGAATCAGTATACAATTTGCAAACTAACATCATAGATGCTGCCATTTAAAAAATGTGCCTGAGAAATATTAGTGATGCCAAACTGCTAAAATTAGTACTGGATGTAGGGCCAAGTACCTGGAAATGAGATTTGGAAGGCTGATATAGAGAAAGTCATGTTTGGATATAATTGAGGCACTTCATGACCACAGAACAGTAAGGCAGGAGAGGATACTGAATTATCCAGCAGTCTGCCAGCTCGGAATTCATGAACTCCACAGTAATGGAGAATGACCAGAGATTTCTGATGATTGCATATAGGACTATTTTAACTATCATCTGAAGTTGGAGGATGGTTTTCATTTTAATTTTTTGGATCTCTAAATATCCAAAATATTTCATTTCAATTTTTTGGACCTCTAAATACAGAATCATTTCATCATATATATTTTAGAAAAAGTAATGAAAAATGGAGACATTCAGGGTCAACGTCAACCTTCCTGGTGCTGAGGAAAACATATTTTTAATTTTTAAAATTTTTCTAATTAGTTATACATGACAGTAGAATGTATTTTTGACACAACAAATTTGTTTTTTGTGCCTTTTTTTAGTATGACATAACTGTATTTATGTGGGTTTGTCTCTGTCTTTTATTCTGTACCATTGGTCTACATGTTTTGGTGGCAATACTGTGCTATTTTGTTACTATGGCTCTGTAGTATAATTTAAGGTCTGGTATTGTGAGGCCTCCTGCTACACTTTTCTTGCTAAAGATTTCTTTGGCTATTCTGGGTCTCTTATTTTTACAAATGAATTTTATGATTGCTTTTTCTAAGAAGAATGAGATTGAGATTTTTCATAGGAATTGCATTAAATCTGTATGTTTTTGGTATTATGGCCTTTTTTACAATGTTAATTCTGCCTATCCAAGAGCAAGGGAGATGTTTCCGTCTTCTAAGGTTGTCTTCACTTTCTTTCTTTAGTGTTCCATAGTTTTCATTGTGGAGGTCTTTCACCTCTTTTGTTGAATTGATTCCTAAGTATTTTTTTATTTTTTTAAGCTATTGTGAATGGGGTAGTTTTTTTTCTAATTTCCTTTCAGCTGATTCATCACTGATGTATAGAAATGCATTTGATTTATGGATGTTAATTTTATATGCTGCTACTTTGCTGAATTCATTTATGAGCTCTAGAAGTTTTCTGGTGGAATTTTTTGGATCTCTAAATATAGAATCATATCAGAAAATAGTGATAGTTTTCTTTTTTTTTTCCTATCCCTTTTTCTATCCCTTTAATTTCTTCTAATTGTTCTGGCTAGAGTTTCAAGGACTATGTTTAATAAAAGTGGTGAAAGAGGGCATCCTTGTATTGTTCCATTTCTTAGAGGGATTGCTTTTAATTCTTTTCCATTTAGAATTATGTTGGTCTTGGGTTTAGCATAAATAGGTTTTACAAAGTTGAGGTATATTCCTACTGTCCCTAGTTTTCTAGTGTTTTGAACATGAAGGAGTGCTGTATTTTATCAAATTTTTTTTTTTGAGCAATTCATTATCTCATTTAATAGGTAACAACTACAATATGAAAAAGAAAACTTAAAAATAAATAACAATTTATCTCAATCAAAGAGAAATACAAAATTAATTGTTGTTAGGGAATTGGATATAAAAATTCAGTTCAGTGAGTGACAAAATCAGTTGGTGAACCTGATTTGTTGTTTGGATTGTTTACTGCAAATCTTTGTTTTGGTTTTATTTTTTTTTGTGAGGAGGAATCTCTAAGCAGAGCAAGATAACTATTGGAAGCTGCCAGCCCTGGGTTTAGTGGATCAAATGCTTTTTTTTTTTTTTTGCACCTACTGAGATGATCATATGATTCTTGTCTTTAGGTCTATTAATGTGATAAATTACATTTATTGATTTCTATATCTTGAACCAACCTTGTATCCCTGGGATGAAACCCATTGATCATGGTTTACTATCTTTTAAATATGTTTTTGTATGCAATTTGTCAGAATTGTAATGAGAATTTTTACATATATGTTCATCAGGGATATTGGTCTGATTTTTTTTTTTTTTCCTTCATGTGTCTTTGTTTGGTTTTATTATCAAGGTGATATTAGCCTCATAGAGTGCATTTAGAAGTGTTTCCTCCTTTTCTATTTCATGGAATAATTTGAGGATTATTGGTGTTAATTCTTCTTTGAAGAATTTGGCTGAGAATCTGTCTTGTCCTGGGCTTTTCTTGATTGGTAGGCTTTTGATGGTGTCTTCTATTTCATTGCTTGAGACTTATCTGTTTAAATTGTGTATGTCATTTGATAGGGAAGGTTTGGGTAGGTCATATGTGTCTAAAAATTTGATGTAGTTAAGATTTTCTATTTTATTGGAGTACAAATTTTCAAAATAATTTCTGATTATCTATTGTATTTCAATAGTGTTCATTGTGATATTTCCTTTATTCACAAACTTTTTGAGTTTTCTATAATTTGAATTTTCTTTCTCAGGTGGCATGGCTAAGTGTTTATTTTCTTTTTTTCAAAGAACCAACTTTT